CATGGCGTTGATCCGGGCAACCACTGAATCAACAGGACTGTTTTCTTTGATGTAGATAAACAGTTCATCCTTCTCAAAAACAGGAGCATTGTCATTGATGTCCAACACAGAAATCTGGATCTCCACTGCTGCTTTGAGAGGAGGAACTCCTCTATCAACTGCATAGGCCTTCAGGTTATACACTGGAACGTTCTCTCTGTCCAGCTTCCTTTGTGTTCTTATTATTCCAGAGTATTGCTCAATCATGAAGTCTCCTTCCCCGTCATCGCCACCTTGAAAGGTGTAGCTCACACGCCCATTAGACCCTGAGTCCCTGTCTGAAGCAGATATCTGGAGCACACTTGTGAACACAGGTGCGTCTTCAAACACGGTGCCCTGATATTTGTCCCTCCCAAACTGTGGCGTATTATCATTGGCATCCAGGACAATGATTTCCACATAGGTGGTGTCGGACTTCTGAGGGATTCCATTGTCACGAGCAATGATGGCCAATGTGTAGGAGGCTTGATCTTCATAGTCTATCTCCATCTGCGTGGTGATGGCACCTGTGTCCGGATCAATCTTGAACTGTGGAACATTGTCCTCCATGATATAGGTAATACGTGCATTCTCACCTGTATCTTCATCTGTGGCACTGATTACCACAACAGTTGATCCAATGGGTCGGTCTTCGCTGAAGGTCTGATGGTAGCTGGCGCTCTGGAACACGGGTCTGTGAGTGTTAGCATCAGTTACATTGATGAACACCTGCGCGGTGTCGAAGCGTGTACCATCCGAGGCGGTGATAGTCAGAACGTACTGGCGTTCCTGTTTGTAATCTAATGGCAGTGCCAGCGTGATGAGTCCACCTCCGCTTTGACTAGTGATGGCAAAGCGGTTCCGCGTATTACCACTGGAGATCTGATAGGTGACCACACTGTTTACATCACGGTCCAGAGCTGTAACAGTTAACACACTGGTCCCCACAACAGCATCTTCGTTGATTTTTAGCGAGTATAGCTTTTCGGTGAACGTAGGGATGTTGTCATTCACATCTAGGACGGTGATGCTAACGCTAGCTGAGGACGACATTACCGGAACACCATTGTCTCTGGCTTCTACTCCAAAGGTGTAATACTCAGTGGTTTCCCTGTCCAGCTCAGTACTGACTGTTATCCATCCAGTGCTGTTATTGATGGTGAAGGGAAAGCCTGGAGTGGTGTCTGTGAGGCTGTAATCCAAACGAGCATTTTCTCCAGAATCAGAATCAATGGCCTGAATGTGAATCACGGAATATCCAATAGGTACGCTCTCTAAAACGGTGGCTTGGAAAGGAGTGCTTACAAACATAGGGGCATTGTCGTTCACATCCACAACTTGGATGACAACAATGCCTGTTCCGTTAATGAGAGGAGGCCTGCCTCCATCCTGGGCCTTTATGCGCAAGTTATATTCTCGGATCATTTCGTAGTCTAGAGGGTTTATGACATCAATGGCTCCGGTTGGGGTGTGAATGAAGAACTGACCTTTTACATTGCCGCTGATTATGCTGTAATGGACCTTAGCGTTATTGCCCTCGTCTCGGTCAGTGGCTTCTACCTGGGCCACTTTAGTGTTAACGGCCACATTTTCTGGCACCTGAACTACATATCTTTTCTCACCGAACTGAGGATAATTGTCGTTTTCGTCTTCAACTGTGATGTGCACTGTCGCAGTAGCACTGCGGGGCCCAGGGTCCCTTCCTTGGTCATTGGCCTCTACTATCAGCTGATACTGCGCCATAGTTTCTCTATCTGGACGCACACGAATCTTGACCAGTCCGTTCCGAGAATCGATTTCGAACCCAGAATTAACACCCTCGCCATTCACAATCCTATATATCATGTTTGCATTGGATGGTGCATCTCCATCTGTCGCCCGGACTGTAATCACCTCAAAACCAACTTCCACATTTTCTCGTATCCTTACCCTGTATTCATTCTGTTCAAAAACGGGCCCGTGGTCGTTGGTGTCACTGACTGTAACAGTAAGGTAAGACGTGGTAGTGCGTCGCGGTGCGCCATTATCAGTTGCCGTGACTTTAAAAACGTGCGTGTCTTTAACTTCTCTGTCTAAGGGCTGGACAGTCTCAATGCTGCCGGTTTGAGGGTCTATCCGAAAGAAGTCGTTCGAACGGCTGTCGAATAACGCTTCCATGCCATACTCGATCTTCCCCGCCTCTCCAGGGTCGCTGTCAGTCGCTTTGAGGGTGATGACCCGCGTACCCGCAGGCTCGTTCTCTGGCACAGAAACCTGGTAGTTTGGTAACTGAAAAAGAGGCGCTGAATTCACGGCTCGCTTTATTCTCGGTTTCCATTGATTTGATACGTGTTGCGCAGAATGTAATAATGATGTTTGGACTGAGGCGAAACGCAATTTGAGGCACATAGAAAGGGGCTCGCCATTTGAATCGTGGAACGCACAGCGGATAGTCTCTTTAAGGCGTCTCAAGTCCGTCTCCGAACAGTACGCGTCCTTCACGAGTAAAGTCCCGTTACGCACAAACACATTCAGGTGGTCTGACGTGCAAGAAGTAATAAAAACCCCAGAGTTTCTTGTGAAGACAGGCAAATAGTCCTGAAAACTAAGGAGTAAATCACCCGGTGAAAAGCAGGAAGTTAGTCCTAAATTATAAATGCAATCCACGCGGATATCAGGCTTAGTCACTCTCTTCCTTTTATATTTGAACACGCAATTTCGTCCGTGCACAAACACTTTGAAATGTGCGTTAACTAGTCCTTCGGTTGTTAATGATTGGATTTTAAAATAAAGAGGCAGCGCGCTGTGAGGAGCGAGCGCGCAATCCACCTCTCCATTTAAACGCACTACTCCATCTCTCCAGTCCACTTTAATAAAGTTCCCAATGTACTTGGAAGTTAAAGTCCTGTCTATTTTATACGTCCAACCTGGTCCCAGTGACAAATTGGCCAAAACAGCTCCAGGACGTAACGTCTCCGAGAGGTGCAAGTCGAAACATCCCATGAGAGGAGCGCAGAGGAGAAGGTGAACCCATAATAACCAACACATTACAAGATCCATGGTGTAAAACTCCACAAAACATGCAGAAAAACAAGGTCAACTCTCCTTCTGCCGGCACGTCGACCTTTTTTTATCCTTCATTGTAGCTTTTTAGCAGGGGAAAACACAGTTTATCAGGCTGGTCTCCATGGAACCAAGTGACATTACCCACGTTAAGTTTTAAATGAGGACAAAATGGCTCCGTGCGTGCGCGTCTCTCCCCAAGCACACACACACACACACACACACACACACAGTCATTAACATAAACCTGCACGCACCTCCTCTCAGGACTAAAGAATAACTCTCATGGAAATTCAACTATTGTTATTCACATCTGCATTTATTCTTTGGTTCTTTTGGCGACTTTTAAGACGCGGCGCGTCAAACTAGAAAAAAACAATGAAGCTACGGTATTAAAGTTTCACGCAACTCTCCGCATGCAGAATGCTTCCATTATAAATAAACGCCGTTTCATTTATTATAATAGGCGCGTTCTAGTTTTGTTTAGGCTATGGATAAAGTTTTCTAAAGTGTCTCTTAAAGTGATATGAAAGCGCAACACGTGTTTAAATCGCTGTTTACGAGCGGCTGTAAAGTAATAAACTGTTATCAATACTGGATTCCCTGTCCGTTATTCGCTACGAGTAGAGTAAAACAAAATTGTACATGAATAAATTATTTATTCTCTATACAAACCATTACAAAAATACAATGCTAGCCATAATTTACGAAAAAATTTTTTTTTATTAAAACAGTGGTAACATAGCTAGTCAGTGAACATTACGGAAATATTTTGAAACGTTTAAGCATTAAAATTTGGTTTGGTGCAAAATAATCATTAAAAGGATGTTTTTACTCATCTTTGGAAATAAAAAAAATAAAAAGCTTGAGTTTTGAAATGTATTTTCATATCCTTGTACTTTTTATCCTGTATTCATAAAAACGTGTATTACTAAAATTGTAAGTGAGAATAAAACTGTTTTATTGGATATAAACGTATATTGGTTTATTTTACCTTCAATATTAATGTCTCCTCAACAGATACAACGTGCACATAGTCACTATGTTCCTAATATAAGACATAAAAAAAGCAATGGATTTCTTGTGAAAGAAAAGCATGCTCATCTTTGAAAACATTTTTCTTTCTTAAGAAGTTTATCTACAAAAAATATATAATACTTAATTATATTTTCAAAGCAATACACCTACACTCTTAAAAAAAATAAAGTTCTTTATTGGCATCGGTGAGGAAGCTTTAACAATCATAGAACTTTTCCAATGCACAAAAGGTTCTTTAAAATGGAAGAAGGTTATTCCGAAGTTATTGTGAAGACTGTTCACTGAAAGGGTTCTTTATTTTTAAAAGTGTGAAATTTCTCTTATACAGTTTGTTGAACTGGGATGCCATGCATATTTAAAAACACAGATGAGGAATTAAGGCCAATCCTCATGTCATAGGCCTACATTTCTTTTTAAAATTGTTTATAATATTATCAGAGGTCAATCATTTATTCTCTAAACCCCAATGCCTTAACATATGTTATATTTCAATTGTCTAACTCTATATTGTTTACAGTTGTCTTTAATGGAAATTGAGGAAGATGTCCAGAGGCACTAGACCGGGGCTGTCCAGACTCGGTCCTGGAGGGCCGGTGTCCTGCAGAGTTTGACATACAGTAAGTGATGCTCCCACGCCCTCTATTGGGAGAGAAAGGAACTCAGTAACAGTACTCAAGAAGAACAACCTGTGAACCTGTAGCTTAATATTTGTCTGAAAGATTGCATAGGTCAGGATTGTTGCACCATAAAGGCACTATAACCACTTGCATGTATAAAATCTTAAGAAAGAGCAATACCACAATCACTACGTATGTATTTTACAAATAAATTACAATTCCCAAATTAATTACAATTAAGAAAAAAATACAGAAAACATACAAGTCACATTAAGGGTTCCCCCACTAGACATACAGTAAGTGATGCTCCCACGCCCTCTATTGGGAGAGAAAGGAACTCAGTAACAGTACTCAAGAAGAACAAACTGTGAACCTGTAGCTTAATATTTGTCTGAAAGATTGCATAGGTCAGGATTGTTGCACCATAAAGGCACTATAACCACTTGCATGTATAAAATCTTAAGAAAGAGCAATACCACAATCACTACGTATGTATTTTACAAATAAATTACAATTCCCAAATTAATTACAATTAAGAAAAAAATACAGAAAACATACAAGTCACATTAAGGGTTCCCCCATCCTAAATGTCTGTGAATACTAAGAGCCCCCTAAGTTCTTGTTATTGATAAAACACAAGAGGGGTGCTGGTTTGTGCTGCATGCGTGCGTCTCAGTTGACAGGCTCTGGATGTTGTTGGTTTGTGTCTTTAGGCGGGCAGCTCAGGCAGTTTTGACCTTTCTGAAGAGTGAATTGTGTGGGTCCCAGACGAATGATCTTCCCACTGCCCAAACACTCATCTCCCTTATATAGGACAGCAAACTGCAGTGCAAACACAATCTAGTCAGGTTCTATGTGTAGCTTTCTATGTGTATAAAGCAAGAAGGTCATACTACCTGATTTTAACGCAGTAATACAATTAATTAATCTAACTGTAGGCTGTTTATTTTTGACAATCAACCTAGCAAGCTTGAAATGTGCATCTGAACTTTGTTTTATAATATCACTTAAGATGTCATCGCATTTGTTGCTCAGCCAGCTGATGGTTTTTGTAAAACAAACAAAAAAAAGGACTACAGTCCATTATTTATAGAGAATATGTCATAGTGATGGAAGACAGGAGTTGAATACATCTAGTAAAAGGTTTCTGAAAGTCCCATTTTTCCCCCAAAGTCTAGTGTAAATGATTTATCAGGAATTGAGTTAAACATTCGAGATACATTCTTCAGCGGTGTAGATATTTCTGGATTACCTGCCCAGGTGTCAATGCTCTTATTGGCTCTTTCAGCATTACCCACACTGACCCGTCTAGATTCAAGGTTACAGTGCATGGAGCTGAAAGAAACGAGATGTTGATATTAGGACTGTTTACAACAGGACGATTCTGTAGACTAGTCTTATTATTGTTAACTAAAACTGAAAATTAAACTATTAAACTATTATTAAATCAAACCATTCGAAAAAAATTTCTCAAAATAAATATTACACTTAAAAAAAAAAGAACATTTTGACAACTGAATTTTAGTATTTTAGTTGAAGTACTAAACTGACTAAAACGGAAATAAAAATAAAGCTAAACAGAAATACAATAAGACTATTAATTAAAGTGACAAAACACTAAAACTAAAATTAATGCTAGTTCAAAATTGTAATGAAATCTTATAATAATATATAAATATTGGCTGCTGGTTATTACTTAAGTAACTTTTTCAGTGGACCTGTTTTCTAACAATTTGCAGCAAAAACAAAGAAAACTCACTTAAAGGCATCCGGTTAATGAAACGGAAGAGACATTCCATCATCTGAGTTCGGACAAGTTCGACAGGCGGGTCTTCGGCTATCCAATGGAAGCGGTCTGTCTGCATCGTGTCTCGGAACAGTGCTGGGTGGTTAGTGGTTGGACCCTACAAGAGATGCCATATTTTAGGAATCAATCGACCTGAAAAGTCATTTGTGGCCTTTTTTTAGTTCAATAAATTAAGTAACTCACCAGAAATACATCACCGGTCGTGATATCTTTATCAACTACAAACCAAGGATCTACCTGTCCTCCTATTCTAGCCCTCTGACCCAGTGTTAATGTGAACCAGCCTGTGGCGAAATACAGTAATCAGTCTTACAGTATCACAGACACCATGGAGGAGAATATGACCAATTATTAAATTAATAGCCACCTTTATGCTGCCCCATGATCTTCCCATCTTCAACGGAGACAAAGTTTCCCGGTTTGGGCTCTATGTACTTTAAAACAAATTTGACATGGACTTGAAACAGTACTAAATACACAGTACACAGTCTGAAAATCAGCTTTTTTTTAAAAACATGTTGATTGATTATATGATGTTTGGCCATTTTTTGCAACCCTATTACCAAAATGTGGAATACAGTTTATATATCCGAGCTTTACATTTTAAAAACATATAAATAAAATATCAGAATTGGTAATAGGGTTGCAAATTGAACCTATAGGTAGGGATGGATAGTTTAGGGCCAAATGTTGGTTTGTTATCGATGATCTAAGGCCCTGTCCACACGAACGCGGTTATTTTTAAAACCGCAGCTTTTAATACGCTGTTAGGCCGTTCGTCCACACGCAAACGCAGCACCAGTTCACTGAAACCGAATATTTTTGTAAACTCCTGACAGGGTGAAGATCTTCAAAAACTCCGGTTGCAGTGTTTATTGTGTAGACAGCGAAACCGGAGTTTTTGGCTTGTGACGTCAGCGCCTGCGCTGTTATCTCCGCCTACTGGAAACTTTTTCAGGCTTCTGATTGGCTAACAGGCCTTTACGGTTGAGATTATATCGCCACCTATTGGTTTGGCATGCTCTTGACAGTGATTCATGGCATGCGTTTGCTTTTTCATGTGGACAGAGATTTTTTTTAAAACAGAAGAAGGAAAAACTCAATATCCTTGGTGACAGGGTTGAGCTTTTGATATATACAGGTGCATCTCAATAAATTAGAATGTCGTGGAAATGTTCATTTATTTCAGTAATTCAACTCAAATTGTGAAACTCGTGTATTAAATAAATTCAGTGCACACAGACTTGTTTAAGTCTTTGGTTCTTTTAATTATGATGATTTTGGCTCACATTTAACAAAAACCCACCAATTCACTCTCTCAACAAATTAGAATATGGTGACATGCCAATCAGCTTATCAACTCAAAACACCTGCAAAGGTTTCCTGAGCCTTCAAAATGGTCTCTCAGTTTGGTTCACTAGGCTACACAATCATGGGGAAGACTGCTGATCTGACAGTTGTCCAGAAGACAATCATTGACACCCTTCACAAGGAGGGTAAGCCACAAACATTCATTGCCAAAGAAGCTGGCTGTTCACAGAGTGCTGTATCCAAGCATGTTAAATGAAAGTTGAGTGGAAGGAAAAAGTGTGGAAGAAAAAGATACACAACCAACCGAGAGAACCGCAGCCTCATGAGGATTGTCAAGC